ACTTCAAACATTTACCCCCCACATCCTCAAGTGCCACGTGCTCGTTCGCGGGGATAATCAGGGGGTGGTATTCATTATGCGCAAAAGGGGATCACGCCAGCCGACGCTCATGCTGCTATGTCAAGCAATCATTCATCTCTGCATTGAGCATCAGACAAGTTTGGCCGTCGAATGGATTCCTACAGAGCTGAACGCGTACGCTGACGAGCTCTCAAAGATCCAAGAACATGATGACTACTCCCTCCAAGCCCCTTGGTTTCGGCTCCAGGAAAGCCGGCTGGGTCCACATTGCATCAATCTGTTTGCAAATGTGCACAACGCTCAGCTGCAGAGGTTTTGCTCCAAGATTCCCCACCTGGCGGCCATAGCGTTCGAAGCATTTTCATTCAGCTGGGAGTACGAGCGTAGCTTCGCCTTTCCACCTCCCAACCTCATCCCGTGGTGGCCACTGCTCCAACCATCGCCTGACGCCTGGGCACCAGAAATCAAAACACACATCCGTCTCACCCATGGCATGAAATGTCTCCGTCCTGGCATGCACTCCCTCGCTTTCGCCGGCCAAGGCTTTCCTCCTAGTTAGATGATTGCATTGCATATCAAGTACAACAAATGATCCTTATAATAATTATTATATATGAATATATCCTTTCCTGCATTTTTTTTTAAGCTGCAGACACAACTACTCCACGTAATTGCACACGCTTGCGCCCTTCCACCGTCCGCACATATGAGCTGTACTGGCTCAAATATCGCTCATTCTGCACGAAGGTCATGTTGAGTCACTTGCCTGCAATGGATGTTATCTTGGCACTCTACCTTGTCCATGCCTTGAATCAACAAGCCACACCATCCGCCATATCGCTCACATCCTCCGCCGTCGCCTTTGCATACTGGATGACTGGGGAGCCGTCCCCCACGGATGCCCCGTTCACACTACAAGTACATGAATTTGCCAAGCGCCATGGCCCATGCCCCACCCGGAACAAGGAACCCCTATCGCTTCACCAAGTGCAAGCCATGGCCCGCCCCTTCCTCGAGTCTACTAGGCCGGCCGAGTACCAGAAATGACTCATCCCGATACTCATGTTCACTGCATTCCTACGCTACTCTGACCTGGTCAGCCTCTAGCCCGAAGCAATGTGGTTGCTTATTCCCCACTCCAAGACCGACCAGGAAAGTCGGGGCACATGGATCCCGGTCGCCGCCACCGCCGGACCCTACTGCCCTGTGCATTGCACGCGACAGTTTCTACTCCTTGCTGGTTACACTGCCACCCCATGCGGACCATTGATCTGAGTCTTCGGAAACAACAAGAAGGCAACTCCACAAGACAAAGCACCTTCCTACACCACCATCTGGAACTAGTGCCTCAAAGCCTTTACTAGGCCCTGCCTCGACTGCACCCACCTCGGTACACACTCCTTCCGCAAAGGCGCAGAGACCGCGGCAGCCAGCTTGGGGATCTCCGACTGGCTGTTCAAGCGACTCGGCCGCTGGCGCAGCGACAACGCCAAGGAGCTCTATGTCACTATCGCACAAGACTAACTCCTTCAGGCCTCGACGAAACTCCAAGACGCAACCACCGCCCCCATGCTCAATCAGCACCAGCTATCTGTCGAACGACACCGCCGACCCATTCTGCACATGTCTCAGAAGACCCATATGAAATGAAGCACCTTGCCTTAACAAGAGGACCTAAGCAAGCTTTCACAATATGTAAATTTTTGAAAGCGTGTAACGCCTTCTAGAAATGTGTTTTGTGAAAGTGTGGTGAGGGTCAACGCAGCAAAGGCAGCGTTGAAGCACTACTCACCCACTTTTGCCTACAAAAGAGGGGCGTGAGGCCATTTGGCCTAGTTCCTCTAGTTCTATTTCCCCGCCCACCCACCCGACTATGCGTGTACAATCATTTGTTGGACGAGGATCATACACTGACGGAAAGTATTGCCCGGATAATTGCCTTCAAACATTTCTCGTACTAGTTTGGTGCCTTCTTTGTTTAGTTACGAATCAAATTTCGGGGTTTGATGTAAAATAGTACTGTACTGTATGTGACGGATGCTGGTTTCAGTTTTATAAGGGTCGATTTTTTACCGAGGACGAGATTTCGTCCGCGTAGGTGCATCCGGACAGTTTAGGCCAAGCAGCGTAGTAGATCTATTTCCTAACCTCGCTATTTCTTCTTACTTGCCCTCGCGACTATCGAGTAGTCAGGAGATAGGCTAGGACCGCTGCGATGATTAGGCCGTCATGAAACCGTTAGATGAGGCGCTCTACGCATAGATCATTCCCTTGTTGCGGAGGGGGTAGAGCAATCGTTGAATCGCTAAACAGCTAGCCATAGGGAAGAGTTCGGCCCATCAAGGCGATTGTAGAGTCTAGCCGCGATGACGTGCGTCCTACGATGCCCTCAGCCGGTCGCCCTCGCTTAGTGATAGAGAGAGTTCGCCGCGACATAGTTCGGTCGATTACCCTCGAGGAGGCATAAATCTCCGCTCACGTGGCGAAAATCGTTGAGAAGCAGCACGGCATCACGTTGCATCCTAAGACATTGCGTAACGCTTTGAATGGGAGCCGACTTGTCGCAATCAAGCATCCCAAGAAGCCGCGACACTCTCGGAAAAACATACGCGATAGGCTGGAATGGGCGCGTGCCCACGCAGACTGGACGGTTGACCACTAGAAGCGAGTTATCTGTGCGGATGAGACCAAGATCGGTCGTCTTGCATCCGACGGACTCTCATATGCCTGCGTTCACGAAGGGACTGCCCTCCAAAGACACCAAATCAAGCAAACCGTCAAACACGAGGGCGGTTGCTTGATAATTTACGACTGCATGTCGTAAAAGGGAGCGGGTTTCATAAGCAAAACATATGGTAGGATGGACGGACTGCTCTCGCTGAGTATACTGCAGGACGATCTCAACAGTACAATTGAGCTTTACGAGCTTACACCCTCAAAAACTATCTTCCAGCACGACAACGACCCGAAGCACAAGCCGCGTATCATACGGGAGTGGCTTTGAGAGCAAGATTCTGGGGTGCTAGAGTGGCCGTCTTCCTCACCCGACCTCAACCCAATGGAGCATTTATGGGCTCATCTCAAGAGGCAGCTGGCCAAGCCTTATAAGCCTCCCACTGGTATGCTGGACCTTTGGGAGCGGGTGCAGGAGAAATGGGAGAAGATCCCGGCGGATGTGTGCACCCACCAGGTGGAAAGCATGCCCAGGAGGGTGAGGGCGGTGTCTAAGGCAAAAGGGCGGTGGATTAGGTACCAGTTTGGGGTTGATTTAACTTGCTGCTTGCGCCTGGCAATAATTGTCCACATGTACCAAGATTGTTATTTTCTGGTATTTGTTGTAAACATCATTATACTTCTGTGATGTAAGGCATGGGCGTAGAGCCTTACCCCAACCTACATACACTAGGCATACCAGAAGATTAAGGCTTAATGTCCATGACCCCCTAAAATGGCAAAATTCCTCTAAGTCACAAACATGTGGACAATACTTTCCGTCAGTGTATATGAATCCCAT